TAATTAAAGCTTATTTGAATTATATTTTTTTATCAAAATAAATAAGTTAAAGTCACAATTTTAAGTTCAGACACCATTTTAATGAAAATTGTTCTTCTAGGTAAAGGAAACAAAAGTGAGCTTAGAGGAAATATTACTACGTATGAATAATAATTTAAAAACACTTCAAGAAGACTACAATATTTTCGTAAAGAATCTTCGCAGTGAACTTTATAAAAAAAACAAAAACATTATTGAGATATCCCGTCAACATAGCCGTGGTTCAATAGAAACAGCAGAAGTAAGAAACTAATAGTAAATAATTCCATAATTCACAAAGTACTCAGGGACTTAACCCACCCCTTTGAATCGGACAATTGTGGAGTGTGCCAACATATGAATGCCACAAACATATGCCAACACATGCACGCCTCAAACATGGCCGCAAATTGCCATACTGATCACGTAAGGCTAAGACATTGCAGCATTGCTCAACACAAGTATGAGAGAAGTCATCTCATTAATTTCATATCCACCAGCCTTTCAGAGCACCTGGGATTGATGGATTTTTGGTGGTAGAAAAGAATACCATCACCAGTTTATAAATGTCCCCACTGCTTTGCTTACAGGCCTTCCCTGTGAATAAAAATTAATCGAATAAGTGTATATCGATGAGTGTTAAAAACTGCAGATGCTGATGTTGCACGTGTCTTCCGAATCAAAGAGGAGCTAGTGATAATAAATTTTTGCTCACCCATTCTATGACTGGCCCTTGTGAAAAATGCTTGTCTTCCACATCACCATCGCGTTGCGCTATCGAAATTTCCAATTAATTATTAACATGTTTTTGCTAGGCGGTTTATTCCATAGAAACCATACGAGGAAAAATTGATAATCACCAGTACAGACATCCTATCGAATTTATGACAGAAGAGACGTGCTACTGGCAAAAGAGATTAAAGGACTTCAACTTTATAGCTGACTGTATACTCAAACTGAAAGCTGAACAAGAAAATGTGCGAAAACAATTAGACACATACAAGAAATTAAGGTTTGTTAATACGACATATTATATATGTACATAGTATATACTCGTATATATATTTTATCCATTTTTAAGGACTTTTATCTTTAAGATATAACAGTCCTATCGTACCCTAAATATACATTACCTACAGCTCTAAAATAGTTGAGAGATCAACAATCATCGATGACTTACCATGGCGCATATAAGTTTTGCTGTGTTTGCCAATGGTTCACTCAGTAAACTTTGGAAAATCTCAAGTCAAGTCGGTTTTAACTTTAGAGTAGTCATCAGTGTTTGTCGCTCTCTCATATTTCTGTGACTAAATATGAATAAATATTTAAAGGGGCTTCCATCCCATACAACAAACCTGATTTGAATAGATTATTTATGGTGCAGACTACAGACTTGCATTTGGCCGTTTTTAACTTAATCGTAAATTTTCCAGGACTACGGAACTCCCAGGCTCGAAAAAACAGTGTTGGCTAAATATGGGTGAAAATTTTCGCAATAGGCAAGAATTCCTCAAAACGAAAATTCTCGAAATTTCCAAAACTTTGATGACTTTCTTTGCAATTCCAGGTAGATACTAAATATTTATATAAAAAAGCGAATTTATATCTTAATTTAAAATAGCTCATTTGAAATGACCGACACTTGTTATAAAGACCTAAGTGTACGTACACCCCATAACATCGACTATATCTATTTTAAAGACCTAACACTCCTAAAAAGAGATGGTCTTTACTTATTTATCTGCATTATTTCCTTGCGTACTTAACTGGTTTATAACAATCTAATATTCACAGCCTATGATAATGTTATTTACGTGGATAATGTGGGTCGTTACTTCTTAGACTCTTACAATCATAAAGTGTACATATTCAACCACGAAATGAACTTCTACCATGTGGACTGCAATGGTGACTATGAAGAGGTATAAATAAAAGTATATCATAATTATAATTTCCTTAAAAAAAATAATGAATCTGACAACTCAGGTACACACAACTTTATTCTTTTAAGTTTCTTGAAAAATAGGTTCATATCGACTTCAATGGTCAAGTATTTCGTTCGCCGGTTTCAAGCTATTGTCATCCCTGAGGATTTTTATAAACTCAGCAGTACCACGTAACTGGATCCCTGATTTATGAAACCTAATGAAGCTCTGAATAATCTGTCAGGCCGATAGATCAATTTACAGCACACCAATTAGGATGGGTCTGTCCATGCCAATGTGTCCATCAAGCTGGCAACGTTACCCACTTCGATTTTGAAATTTTGGAGATAAACGAGACTGTGACTCTGCTGGCCTGACGTCAGTCTGGCAGTAAAACTCTATACTTATAATTTTGTCAAAAATATTTGCAGTTCATTATTTAATCCCTTATTTTTTAGTCTGGGCTATAACGTCGATAAATGGATAAAGTATAATTAAGAAATATTGTGACCCTGCTGGGCTGACGTCATTCTAGCAACGCCACGTTAGAACTATCTAACTAAATTATAACACAATCAGAATTGATCGCTGGCTGTTGATATAACAGCCTGACAGATCATGCAGGACTTTATTTTCACAGACTTACAAGGGTTTTAACTACGAATTAGAGGCGCTGATAGAAACTTATACGAGGGTCTGTATTAATAACAGGTTTTTGGAAATGAAAAATACTATTACGACGTAAATGGTCGATACATAAAAGGAAAAAACGGTGATAAAATCTACCAAATAGCTCCCTGTACGAGTCAGTACAGACTCGGTGATGACAATTTGTTCGAGAAGATCACCAAGGATTGCGGTCATAGTGAAAAGGAGATAGATCAGTGCAAACTACAAATGAAAACTGTACGGCGTGATACTGCAATATTACCAAAAGTCGAAATAAAGAATATAAAAGGTTATTTATACTAATATTATAAAGAGGAAAGATTTGATTGTTTGTTTGTTTTCATTGCATATGCTTTGCAACTAATGGAACGATTTTAAAAATTATTTCACTACTATGGGAAGATAAATAATACCCGGGAAACATAGGCTGTAATTTACGCGGGCGAAGTCTCAATAAAGTGATTATAGTTGCTTACAAATTAAGAGGAAGCGTAATGTCAAAAAATTGTCCCAAATATAATCCATGTAATAAATAGTGACAAAAGATTGTGAATTGCGTATAATACGTCTGCCATCTTCAAATCCCAATCCACGCTGAATTCTACTATTCTACTTTACGGTTTTAAAAGTGGAACTTAACATTTTCAAACTAAACATTATATTAATTATTTCATTCGCCTTTTAGAAACCCTAAGTCCTGAGGTGGTGAAATATCTATGGAACAGTTTCGGTCATTTGTTACCAGAAGCACTTCACGACGTTGGCCGGGATCAACCTAGGAATCCTATACAGTATTTGGCTCACAAGATTTTAATGCATAAGTAATTAATTTCGTCTTTTATATTTACATCGAGCAAAGTATCCTACTTTAAATACTTATAACTGGTTTCGCTCGTAAGATCTCGGCGTACACTTTCGTTATTCTTTTCAGAACTAGTGGAACTTTCTCCGATCTTTGGAAGAAGAAAAGGCAAGCTGAAGAATATCGTTCGAATATATTCAAAGCACGAAAGGAGGTAAGGATCAAATAAATAACTAAAGTACCTACTAATTCTGCTAATGTTTATGAGATTATTATATCTAATCTCAATTGAGTCTCAATTACTTTGCATTTTGCCACTAACTATTTAACCAACTACCTGAAATCCAATATTCAGTCTAGATATATTTATTATTTGTGATCTAGTTACAAGAACTGTGCAAGGGTTCTAGTTGAAATCCTATTTTTCTCCATAATTACGCTAACGTTAACAGAATTGCCTATTGGGCATTTAACAAACGTGTTAGTGGAGGTTCCGGACATGCGATCCTGTGATAGAATTTTTGTCATGATAATTTTCGATTTATTCAATGTATGTAGACGTTTAGAAAGTCAAGATTATTATTAGATAATAGGTATTTTCAAAATAAAAATGCAATTAGCCAAAACATCAAGGCCCATTCCCTTTTTTAGAAAGCGACGGTTGCCAGCAAGTCTTGGAAAGCTAAACAAGTAAAACGTCGTAAACCAGAGGAATCAGATGACACTGAACAGCGAACTGTCTACAATGCGTATAAAGCTACGCAACGGCGAATAATGTCTTTAAATAATGAAGATTAACAAATAAATCCTATATACAGTCGACAACACTTCAGGTTACTTAAGGTTTTAAACCTTAACTTGTTAAGAGCTGAGTTCAAAATTGTTTGCAGATTTTTTATAGTAATTTTATATGCTCCTGTGTGGAGTACATAATTAGTATATTATTCATACTATCGATAAAGAAACTCATGGCTGGAAACGATAGTTTTCACTGTTAAAGTATATGAAAATGTCTATATTCTAATCAATTAATGGTATTAATGTTAAATTACTAATTTTAATTATACCTGTTTGTTTGCATTAGTCTTTAATACCTATGTAGGATATCTGGTTATAATTGTCTGAATACTTTTGTCTAAATTTAAATAAAACATTTTTTAATAAGCTTCATCAAACTCAATGGGGTTACTTTATTTAATTTCAAGTTTCTGAAGCCACATTCACGTTCCATCATCAGACCTTGGATATTATCTCCGACCAAATTGTTAGTCAAGTCAAATTAAACGAGCCGAAACTCGATAAGATTGCTTCGTTTTATTACAGAAGTACCAGGGCGACCTTCCAGCACTAATCAACTCCATTATATTTATTATATAATGTAAATATCGTTGTAATATCGTCAAAACCTGAACTTACTATACACTAAAACCTTCCTCAAGATTTGCTCTATCTATTGTTGAAAATCGCATGAAAATCCGTCCAGTACTTTTCGAGTTTATCGCGAACAGACAGACAGAAGCGGCGGGGTACTATGTTTTATAATATGTAGTGACATTATGTAATCATTGTAACAAAAATATGTACAAGAAGACGTTGAATAAATAAAATAAGAATTAAGGTACAGGTATTTATTGTTCAAGCGTCTACTAGATAATAACGAGACACACTTTGTAAGACGACGTAGACTTTCAACCGAAAGCAGTTACAATTAAAAAAACAACCTACTTTATTTTTTTTCTTGGTGGACATAAAAATAATCCAATTCTAAACCCACTGCCAGTTATATTTGGTTTAATTATAAAAAACTAACTAAATTAAATATAAAATCTTATAGCACTATTGTAAAATAAGACTGCGCGCCTTATTGAACAATTTAATTAGTGACAATGGGTCAAAAATTAATTACATATTAGTTTCAGAAAAAGGGGAAACAATACTACTATATCTATTTACTTTACAAGAGTAAAAATTTACAACAATTTGAATGTGTATGAAAAATAAAATAGAAATGTTAATATTTATATTTAGTTCTCCATGCTTATAATAAACAGATAACCGGTATCAATAATAAAAATACAAAAAAAAATACAACAGAATATAAACAACTACATTGCTCGGTTTCTTTAAACTGAAAATTATAAATAAAAGTTAATATGGGAAATTACGGAAAATCAAGTTATTGACTATAGAGGCTAAATACAAAACAACTTTTGTGTACTAATTCGCTCAAACAGGTACAAAAAGTATTCCCCCTCTTCTTTCTTTTCTATTAAGAGGAAATAGGCCGGCCATGATCCGCACTGGTAATTTATCAAAAAGACTATCGATATAATCGAGGCTATTTAGGCCGCTCTCTCACTGACCTTTCGAGCATTGGTGTAACGAACAATTCATCGGTGACTATGCCCAAAAGCGGGCATAATTTCATAAATTAATATGCAAAAATTTAAGACAATATTGGGAAATTATTGGTGATCGAGTCTATTATATAAAATAAGCGGATCAGAATTTCGTACATATTTTATTGTTCTAAAAAATATCGCGTTATCACTTATAGCCAGAGAATTAAAACACTAATAACGCATTCGCGTAGCATTGTCACCATGTTGTCACCGATCAAATTTTCACGAAGCACCAACGCTAAAAATACCGGTGTGATGCAGCCTTATCACTTCAATATTTGACTATTTTTTTTTATTATTACCGACTATTAAGGTTTATTAGTCTTGAGAATATACATTGCATTATAATTTGCGTTTCATGGACTGCCCATAAAGAGTTTTCTCATATATTTGGTAACAATATTAATAATGATATATTGGATATCAGACTACTTGGATATCTTTTGTACAGTTACAGTTATAAGTTCATCCATCAAATTTACCCGAAATATATAATATATTATGTTAAAAGTAGTGATTAATCAATCATTAATTCACTAAAATACATAATTATCTCTGTATCGATATAGAATCGCCCTTACAATGATATTATTGTAAAAATGTTCTTTCGGTATTGTTGTAGCAACTAAAATATTGTCGTAATATATACAAAATGGGACTATTAATTATCATAATAGTGTTAAGTATTATATTACCAATATAAGTTATGGGTTTTATGACAAAAACTTGAGTCAGAGGATATTAAACGAACTACGACTGGCCAGTGTGAATAATAGACCATAAAATTAGACGACACAAAACATTATCTGTTTGCGATACTAGTAGACTTTTTTAACAATATGCTTTATATTTTACTCGAATCTCTATAATACATTCTAATATTATAACATTTATAAACGGCAAATGATAAACGAACATAAAAAAAATGTCTAAACTACGAAATAAAATTGTGAATCAGCCAAATAAATTCCGTTTAATTCTGTACAAATATCTCATTACTAAAAGTAGTATCTGTTAGTTTCTACAATAATGGTTCAAAGGAAATGGAAATTTGTGCCACACATCAATATAATTTCGATACGATAAACTGTCTAAAAAAATGTAACGCCGCTGTGGAGAGGCAGGTACGGGCGACACATTTACACTAACATTATAAAATAATTTTTGTCTACGACTCAAAAATTTTATTGCCATTCCACAGCAGTCGAGGATAAAACAACACGCAGTTTTCGGTATCTAATTTTCGGCATAATTTTTGGCCTTTTTAATGCGGATTATCACGTCGCCATTTGCTACCATAGACAACCCCTAACATTAAAGACTATTTTTAATTTATGATCACGTGTGTAGCTGATTTTTGTACAAAGCGGGCGACGATAAAAAAAAACGACAATCAACACAGACGATGTTTAGTAGCATCCAATTGAAATCAAATGAAATTGCGCCTACATTGTTTGATGTTCATGACTTTATTTTTATTTACAAAATAAAATATAGAGACATTTTCCGTTTAATATTTAATGTTTTCGCAATTCCTTTCGATAGTTAACTACAATATGTATTCATCTAATATTTCATTGTAAACACTACACTATTGCAAAAGAGATATTAAATTAAATATCTTACGACTGTTAGGAAAAACTACCATGTAATTTGTTTGATTGAAAAAGAAAGCTCGAAAATCAAATCTTACTTTCAAAGGCCTCAAATGTTGCGTTCATTTTTTTCTAAAGTGTATCCTAGGTAAAACTTTTAATGTTAAGAGTAGGTCTACTCTTCTCTGATACTAGCAAACAATTATCTAATACAGGAATATAGAGCATAACTCGTTTGCAATAGTGTATATTTTGCGGCGGCAACTCAGTTGGCGCCATCGTAGAGTGCATCGGCGAGCTCAGCTTGACAATCGAATGACTCCGAGCTGTCGGGATGGTCCGGATAATACTCCCTATATATTTTATCCAGCAGTCCTCGTCTGAAATTGTTTTATGAATACAAATTTTAGAATAAGAAATGTAATGTATTTCCTCGCACATTACCGGTATTACACCGGTTGAATATAAGGCTGATAACAATTCAATCCGAGCCGTAGGAAGGGAACGAATCGAATTTCCTTTAACATCACCTCGCAAAAGAATAACATTAAGACTTCTGACGATTCTATTCATACTGGTAATACTGGTAAAATTGTTAATTGTATAGAAAGATTATTTTAACAAAACACAAATTCGATAACATTCATCAAAGTGTAATAGTGAATATACCAAATATCATAAGTGTCCACGATAAAAATATTTTACAGGTTTAGTAACATTATTTCATTGTTATTTTCATACCTATCCTTTTGTTTATTGCTTCCTAGTGATACAGATAAACGATTTTTACATACTTTAAAATCGAAAAGGAGGAGGTTCTATAATCGATGTGGGTATGTATTTTTTATGTATGTTCAAATTGTTGATTGATTTTCTAAATTCAGCCAAATAACAAAAATACTTAAGACGACATTATGAAAATAAAAGTTCCCGTATTGCGCTTATTATTATGATATCCGGTTCTATATTTTCTCATTAAAACATACTTGAAAAACATCCATGAAAATTCTTTTTTGGCTATGTGCACGACCTCAGCGAAACCTAGGATCCTCAACTTCGGCGGCTTTGACACTTTGAAATTAAGCGTATTATTTTAGACAAACATTAAACTCAACAACTATCTATTATTTTATATAACAAAACTACTGCGACAGACTGGGTGGACAGAGAATTGTAAAATTATTTTTATTCATTCAAATTAAATGAGGTAACAAAAAATGTGTTTTATTTTGGAATAGGGGCGTAGACAACTATTATAGATATACATAAAATCTATCTAAATAAATATTTAAAAAAATATCATTTTATTTACAAAATATCCCTTTTATAGATTAAAATACAAATCATGGGTAGGATTTAATTTAAAATTAAAAAATCATTTATTTTAGTTTTTTGTATTATAAATCATGATTTATAAACAGTTATCACATTAATTCGGTGGAAAAAATACAAGTACGGTATGACAGATGACAAAGCTCGCAAAGTTTTTACTTTTGGCCACCATGAGCGCTGCGATAGATTGCGTTACCCCCACCTAGTACTCCGCACCCAACGAATACAGAATCCTTGCCCGACTTCAATCGAATTTTCATAAAAATGAACCGCATTTAAGAAAAAAATTGTATCAAGATTTTAAAGTCTGATTTAATATATTTTCTTATTTATACTCACTTTGCGGCGAGCCCTCCGCCTGGCGGCAGACCCGGCACGTTCTCTTGGACCAGATCTTTCAGCACCTGCGAGAAGTCCTCTGTACCATCGTTCTTCTCGATCAGCGCTGAAAGACAGTGTTATTTTTATTACGGATGTATAAATTACAGTATAGGTATTATAGCGTTATTAGCTTTTACGTTTCTATTCTTTCATTCCATGTAATAGTGAACAGTATTAATTAAATGTTAAGCAGGGTTGTTTAACTTATTGAAAGTTAAGCACGTTAAGCCGTTTTTCTGCATCTGCAGTCCTCAACACCAACCGAATTATCTCCTATTCTCTCCTATATTCTCCCTATTCGATACGATCCATAGGAAAGGCCTGAGCCGCAGTGGGGACAATAATAGGCTAGTGATTAATGAATTATTAAATCTAGCAGCCAGTTGCACAAAACCCTTTAAGTTATAATTAGTTTAAACCGACATTACCGATACAAATTTGATTAATTAGGTTTGAAGGCGTCATTAAACATTTAAGTAACGTTTGAGCAACTGACCGTAAGTATAAAAATTTAATTTATACATGTAATATCTTAAGTACCTATTCTGTAACAAGTAAAGTTTATTACTAATAACGTAACCTCTGTTATCTTAATACATGATACATGAATTACTTTTAGATTACGTTTGAACTAAGTAAATATCCACTGTTTGAAAATTTGTGAAACGAAAAAAAATATATAAGTAGATATATAAAAATAAATATGTAGGGAAGTAGGTAGCATGATAATGGCACATAAAGTCGAACACAACACTACTTTTAGTTCGCCGTATGTGAGTGGCGTTGCGTTCATTTATTTTTAGTGGCTCGTGACTGCGGGTGCCAGTTGTGACACGCGACCGCCCGACGAACGGCACAGGTCGCTGTGTGACTTTTCTGCGACCCTGGCCTTAGTTCAAGGCGAGGGATGAATCATTGAAACTTATTCAAGGAAGGATGTGGGGATGTTTTTAATTTAATTCTTAGAAGTCGGAACAATTTCGAACTGATCATCTCTTGTTATAATGTATCTTTGCTTTTTTTCATCTGTTAATCTATGAAATTTGCGACCCGAGTTGCACGTGATAGAAATCTGTAAATCTACAAGAAACGTCATACGGTCATAACTCAATGTTTAGAACAATCGTCGGGCTCTGTCAACTTTATGATACATGTATATAGTCATGATAAATTGTGCAGTCGTTTATCTATTAGTTTGCAATTTTTAAATTTTGATAAAGACTTTATTATTTATCTTATATGAAGAGAAATTTGGAACTTGAACATACAAGTAGCATTTGGCTTCCAATCAAACTTCCTATCCATCACTGAGAACATTGACTCACGATAATTACAATCAAACCATTTTATATTTTCTAAATGCAACACATAAAGAAAGCAAACAATATACTATTACGTTTAACATAACTAAAATTAATGCGTAAATAAATCTCTTTTGATGTTTACAGTATCTTATGCATTGATTCGGATTGTATGCAAATGTACTGTAGGTACTCATTATAACTACAAGGTAAAGCACGTGACACACAATCAAGCAATCGATAACAGTCAAGAAACAGGATTATAGATGCATGCATTGTATGGCTTCACATATTAAAATATCGCCTAGTTTACTGTAACACGAGCACACGCGTAACAGCCACCACCGAGGGCACATTCATTGCTTTAACCCATGTTATTATATGAAAAGAAAGTAAGCATCTACTGCTCAACGAATTAAAAACTATTAAATGGAATTAAGGTAATACTCAAGGTCAGGATTAAAGCAATGAAACTAACTCATTAGTTATCAATCACTTTAATGTACAAAAAAACAATAAGGTTTTAGGTTTATCACAATTTTGGTAGAATTTTAACAACCTTTAGACAATAATCACATTCCCGGAAGTCTAATAATTATTTCATATGTTTTCGTTAAAAGAAATCTGATACCTCTTGCAATTCAAACTGAGAATCATTAAGATTTAAATATATAATAACTCAAAAATATACATACATAAACAAAGGTAAACATTTAATCTCTAACGGCGCTATTTATAAACAAGGTTTAGCGTTAGAGTAAATTTAGGTTGAAATTGCAATTTTAGTATTAGTCCAAATTCATATAATACAGAGAATAAGCAAACTGTTGCTTTGTTTATATGAATATTGACTAATGCTAAGTGCTAAGTCTTAGCATAAATTAACTCCAATGGTAAACTTTGTTTATTAATAATACTGTAATAAAACTAATTATGTGTTTAATAACTAATTAAATCAACTACGTATTGGATGAATTGTTATACATGAACATTATATTTTTGACTTTATTTTCTAATGCAAAGAGCTAAATTGTTTAATATTTATGGATGTCACATAATCTGCACGAACGTTTAACGTTGAAAATATACGAACAACGGGGTTAATGCCTCGCAAAAATAAAATGTAATAAATTTATAGTACACGGTTGGTTTTAAAATTTTCTTAGAGCAATCTCCATTCTGAATGAATACATTTCCCCATCCGAGCTATTAATATCTATACTGCTACACGCTTACCTGCGGGCTAATAATATAGGTATCTTGAATAGATACCGCCGTAAAATAGTCAATTTTAATAACAAATGTAAAGTAAAAATATTTTCTAGAACTATTTTCTTGATATCAAATAGTTATTAATTATAAATAGTCATTGATAAGGGCTCTTAGTTTTCCAATTATTGGAAAAAAAAAAATCATGTATATAAAAAAAATATACCTTAAATCTCGTACAACTGGATTATGACAGAAAATATTCTCAACTTTATTTTAAAGTATCTTATTATTAGACGCAAGTAGTGAAATTTAATCCATATATAGAAATCCATGGAACAAGAAAAAATGTTTTTCTAAAGATATATTATAAAATGTTCGATCAATATCGATTTTTAGATATCTCGCCTGTATTACCTCACAATGATCGCCCTATCTTTCACTGTCATACAGTATCGCCATTTGCTAGAATGAGAAAGATAGTGAAAACACGGCGGGATAGCACGCCGCTGAAACATCGAGGTGATACGCACACCTTTCTCGCTTTAACAAACGAGCAGTTCTTAGAGAAAGAAGAAAAGGATAGCGCTATAATGTGCTGCCAGAAGTAACTCTACCCTTAATAGCTTCCGATAATTTTATGTACTTTAGCTAAAAATAATAAAAATTATGTTTGATAAATGTCTATTTTTAAATGACCTTTGTATCTTCATTTAAGAGCTTTTTTGTGATAGCATAATAAATATGAAATATATCCTTTCATGAAAATAGCATAATTAAATTTACCCATCAAAGTACGAATATATTAACCAGTGGCATAGCGTGCCTTGGCGTGACCCCGTATAAAAATTTGTTTGGGTCCCTTATAAAGGGTAAAAAATAGGACTAGCACTACAAACAACAAATTGTTAAGGACTAGCTGACCCGACAAACGTTGTCCTGTCTTAATTCTGAATATTGAATGTAGTTAGTATCAATTTTAAATGATATTCAGTTTTTGAAATCCTTTTTGACGATGTTTGCAGCACGCATTTTGATAATTCTATTTCAAAGTTACAGTAAAAAAATATATATAATCAAAAGCGCTAAGGTTTGATTAAAAATAATTTTATATGTTAGTTAAATATTCTTAAATTTTCCACACAATCTCCATTTTTTCTTCATGAGAACCTTCTCCTGACGATAACAAACGCAGCAAAAAAGAATAAGCGATTTCGGTCCAGCCGTTCACAAGTAATGGCGTGACCAAGGAAAATGGAAATTTATTTATATATATATAGATTTCAGTTAAGTAGATACTTAAATATAAAATTGTAATTCTGTATAAACTGGGTCGTTAGTATATAATTATATTAACCAATAAGAAATTGCACATAAAATGTTAGCACTAAGATAATATCTATTATACAATTTGTAGTAAGCCATAAAAATGCAAATTTATACTTTTTAAAATAAGTAATACTTTTTATGTATTATTTATTGCGTTTACTTACATTAGAAGTGTAATTTCTAAATGAATTCAATAATACATTCATGTTTCATTAAAAAGTAAAGATTGCATCTTAGTTTAATTTTAGTCACTTAATGGATCAGATTGACAAATTGACAGTCTCATTTCATTTTATTAAAGTAATACATAGAATAATATGGCAGACAAATAATACAATAAGCAACATAAATTCAACTTTACTTGTACAACCTGATCAAGTATACTACCTGCTTATGTAAATATGTATTTTTTGGTTTTAATTGACAACACAACATTTAAAATTGGTAACAATACAGCCATTCAAAGCCACTAGAATGTATAATAAGCACAAAAACATTTAATTGAAAAAAAAATTCTACCATGTAAGTGTCAAAAATGTAGATGGCTAATATTTCTCAGTTCAGTATAGTATAATATTACTAATTCTTATTAAGTTCATGATTATGAATATGTCACATTAGTCTATTTTACAAATATATACAAAGAAGGAAGAATTTATGTTCAAATATTAAAATTATGTTTAAGGTAGTAAACTATGTGTTTTTTATGTAATAAATCTTTTGTAATAGTTTAGGATTTGGCAATTTCATAAAATATTTTGGCAATGTTAATTATAAATAACAGTACATCATTTATATTTCTGTTGGTTTTTATAGCACAAAGTGACAAAAATATCTAAATTGTTAACATTAAACATAATCAATATTAATATTTATAAAATAGGTTTGATAAATAAATATAATAAATAAAATGACTAGACCATGGAATTATTTAAAACCTGTTTCAATTGCATGACAATTAAATAATGATTATGTAACTATTAAACTGATTAGTATGTAACTCATACTAATCAATTTAATAACCTGATTCACATTAATGGGATACAAATGCTCTATCCTTGAAACCATGTATGAACAAGTGTTCATCTATAAAATTTTGTACTTTAGTATTACGTAGAGCAATATGTTCAATGTAATATTTATTTGATATTTTACAGCATGCACACATTTGATGATATGAGAATGAAAAGATTAATATAAGATAAAAACTGATTATAACTAACTTCACTGTCATGATATGGATATAATTATCATCATAACTGATTCCATTAAAAAAAATTAATGAACTTTCTAAAATTTAACCTCTCACTTCATTGCCTTCTGCTAGTGTGTTAGTCTGTGTTTGTCTATTTCTACTTTTATATGAACAGGCATGCAGTAAGGAATTATAGCAACCTGTGAGTCTCTGTCGCAGTGTCTCATCAAGCTCGCGGTCTGCTCGTTGAGCCTCAAGACTGGGCTTTGGAGCTGCAGGGAACACCACCAGTACAATGCTCATGTTGTCCTTACTACCCTGTAAACCAAATAATTTATAATGTTATGCTACAATATCCTCCACTTAACTAGTGGATTTACATAGTAGGTGCGTGAAACTATTTTCATAGCATAAATTTCAGTAGCAGTTTCATATGTAAATCTCCACTTTTACAATGTTTGCATTAGTTTGGCGACAGTACAATAGATGCAAGGCACATATTTTTGATTAAACTACTTTCTCGCAACTAATTTCACCTTTACATATAAAAATTAAAAAAACAACAAAATATGAAAAATTTATACTTTATACACATTATTATCTTATTAATTAAGAATGATAGTGGATTTATAATGAAGACAGAGAAATATGGTGGATAAAAATTACAAGCATAAAGACTTAAAACTCAAGTTAGTTAGATCATCAATCAAACTAATAAATATAATGAATGCAAAATTCATCAGATATAATAATAAATATAATATTTAGTTATCATTAATCCATGTATTTTGTCATTTTCTATGAATTATTTCTTTCTTTTCTATTGATCCTGAATAATAATGAATATGATTAAGAAAATATTTTAATAATGCTCAGTTTCCTATATAAGAGAAAATATTAATATAAATTCCCATAAAGCAAAAATCAAACTTCCATGCTAAATTAGAAAGCTGAGCATTATGAATATATATATTATGCATGATGTACATCTTTCAGACTCAAGCTGTAAATTATAAGTCTTGTCAATACTAATCCACTCAATAATGGTTGCATCATCGGAAAGGTAATACTATCAAAAGATAACACTCTGTTACAGCTGAGTGAATTACTTAGAGAACAGCAGAGTAATTCTGTAAAAATACGAATCCAAAATTGAATTCACTCCTGTCTAAATTCACATCATTTAGTGAAGAAATTCTATTGATTCTATTTTTTTCTAAAAATACAAAACAAAATTGATTGATTATACATGATAGTATATTCTATTCCTATGTCTTACTTAAACTAATTTTACTACTTTTACTTTTAAACTAATTTTACACCACAAAACATTATTACCAATTCAAGATTGAGCAGATGCTACTTTTTGAAATGAATTCAGACACCTGAGTACATTCGAATTCAGGTTTGGATTTTTAAAGAATCGTAGGGCAGATCTATAAGGGTTGCAGCATGATAAGAAAATTATTATTACCTTGTATAAGCAGGTATCAATGACCTGATTGGTTATGGCTGTTAGGTCATCTGTGAGTTGCAGTAATGAATGCACATATGCACATAGAGCTTCATTGCTCATAACATCCCAAACTCCATCGCAAGCCAGCACCAAAAATTCATCCTCTGCCTCTGACCTTTCATGAACCGATACTTCTGGCTCTGGTGACACTAGTTGCTCACATGGACCACGACTTAACGCCTTCTTGTATTGATAGTCACCTAGAGCTCGAGAAACAGCTAAACTTCCGTTGACACGTTGAATCATCACTGAACCTCCGGCTTGTACAATACGAGACTTCTCCGATGGCAACTCCGGCTTATGGTCTAGAGTTGCAAAGATCGGGGCGCCGTTACGTGCGAGTACCGCACGCGAGTCACCACAGTTAGCTATGTATATCTGCTTTGGTGACACAAAAGCGCAAACTGCTGTCGACCCAGACTTCTCTTTTCCTGTACATAGCTCAGGCAGCTCACGCATCTTTTCGTCTAAGTCCAGAAATCCTGCGCGAATAGCCTCCGCTATCTCTTCACGTCGAAATTCATCTGTTTGCAAGATGCACTCGAGGAGGTTTTCCGCGCAATGTGCTGAGACTCGCGCCCCCGCGTGACCATCGAATACAGCGAAATACGACCAGTCTGACAGAGTACCGTTCAAAGTTAACTGTGCATGATGTGCATCTTCCATTTCCACTCGCCAACCCTGCATTGACGCCACGCCATAGCGAAGACCATTCCCTTCCCCACTCTCGTTATACTTCTTAGTCTCGGGCTTATTCAAAAACGCCCCCATGCTGAGTCCTATGAATTTGTTCGGTTAATCACACATAATTCTGCACTATCAGGCACTCAAGCGAACGTCGCTTCCAACAATGTAAAAGGGAAGTAAAAGCATTATTGCATTGGAAGTACGATACGATCTTTCGGATGGATCACGTCACTTAACAAAAGTTACAATATCGGTGATAGTGATTATAGTCCAACGCGTATACTGTGTTGTATCAGCTGTTACTACGTTAATTGATTACCTACGTCGCGTAGACCTTGATGGCAAATCGCGTGTTTTTGGAAATTGTAAAACGAAAAACCAACTCAAAAGAATGAATGGCGGACATAAATAGTAATTGTCTATGAGACGATGTACTTCTTAAAAGTGTAATCTATGACATACTTTATGGCGAGCAAGGTCTATGAATAACCTGCACGCGTAGCATGCCGAACTCGAGAACGTTTTGTCTACACTCAAATGTCACTTTTCTCGGTGCGCTCATTCTATCTCACTCTCGACCCGATAACTGACAAATGAGTGTAGACAAAGCGTTTCTCGAGTTTGTCATGCTACGCGTGCAGAGTTGAATGAAAAAATAAATTAAAGCAACTTCAAAAAAATTTAACCGACACCAAGAGTCGTAATAAAGAGAAAAAACTGGAAAAAGAGGAATAATACCACAATTTTTGAAATCATAAATAACATCAAAACGGCAAACCAACAATTTTTTTTTAGGTCGTTGTCAGCTATTGCATTAATGTGAAGTAAAACAGCTTACAGCACTATTAGAAAATGTGTCTTATGTGATTATCTCTTGCCTTGTATGATATTTTTTGCATAAATGTCTGCCGCCAACCTGAAAAAAATTTTGGTGTATCCACTTTTTGTCTTTCCATTTTATTTAAGGTAAAAATATTGTGTTATTATTTCCCACTTTTCAGTTGTTTCTCTTTATTACGACTCTTTGAAGTCCGTTTAATATTTTATTTATTATTTTTTATTTCCTTCTTTTATTTAAAATAAAATAAAAAAAATAGTATTAGAAAATGTCACCGATCTCTATTACTCCTAACTTCATCTGTATATAAATATCCTTAAATTTACGGATAAATATTTTCTGTAAGGGTTGCAGTTCTAACCTTTTTTTTTTTTAACGTGGGGAAATGCGTTACGCATACCCACCGGCTATGGGGGAATCGATGGGTTATGTCGGACTCTCCATAATGGCCTACCGACTAAAACCACCCACGACGCTCCTACATCCCCGACAATCGGCGTCGCCATGGTACCGATAGCCGGGCCGGTTGTCCACCTTCTTCAGGCGAACCCTCCTCTGGGAGACCACCCAATTCCCCCATGGGTGATTTTTACAGAGGTTGTCTTCCTCTCGGCTCCTATTCTAAAGAACAGCGGCCTTCGACTCCACACCATGTGTGGAGTTACGAGTTGCCTCGCTAGCACGGCCTCTTCCCATACGCAGGGCGCCCGTCCAGCCCGGACCGCGCCGCCGCTACCCGACATAAGGTCAGGACGCCGACGTGGAACCCATCCTCACGAGACTCCCTCAAAGAGAGGGAAACCCCCAAACGCGACCCAGAAGGGTCTTACCACCCCCCTAAGCGCGTTCGATCTCACAACGACTCGCTGGCACGGCCGCTTCCCGCGATACGCAGGGCGCCCGTCCAGCCCACTCTCGCGAGTATTCTCGCGTTGACGGAGTAAACTCCGTCGCCCTCACGTCGTCTGACATTAGCCGCGGCGGCTCAAAGATACTTCGAGCGGCCACGTTGCCCAAGGTGCACCACGAGGAGGTTGCCAGACTTCGCACCCCTTGCAGTTCTCACCTAACCTAACCCATTATTTTGTTAAAAATGTAGCACGTCGTTCTTAATAATATTATAAATAAATAATATTTTCATATTATTTATTAATAACATAATTGCAATAGAATATTATATTTACATATTTTATATTATTTATTTCGACTATAAATAACTTTTATACTTTTAACATAAAATAATGTTTTTAGAAATTCCAAAAAAACGCACATTATTAAAAATACTTTTATTGAAATCTACTAATAATGTATTTTATTTTTTTACTACCTAAAAAGCTAACGCTTTCCGCACCTTTTAAAACCTCTCTACGCTACTCTATTGATTCTGGTATACCAAGGTAGCCTATTGGAAAAATTGATATACATCGTGGGTTGCATGTAAAAAAAAAACTACAAATATACATATTGAGATCATTATCTATATAAGTTATACATAATTTCATAAATCAAGATTAAATGGACGTGTTCAATAAAGTGCTTGTAGGAGTAATTCAAAAACTACTATTAATTTCGTTATAGGACTGGCAGTTGAAGAAAGGGACAAATTTAATGTACTTCCATTGCCTTCTATTTATATTCGAGATTCCTGTTGCTTTGTAAAACAATACCCCCAGTACTTTAAATGAGGAGATATTAAAAAAAAAAAAGAAACCACAAAAATTTATGTCACTAGATGGCAGCACAATTTTTAGGATTTAAATGTCAATTCATGACGTTACACCAAAGAGAACAGAATTGTCAGTATTGTTATGGATTTAAGTTAGTCATATACTCATAAATTTGTTTAATACATAGCTTAAATGACAACAGTTAAGTATAGCACCTGGTATTTAAGTGGATATGTAGCAAACTAGCTGTCAGACTTAAGAGTAACATGATTATTGATATTTTATCATAAATTATACCATAAAAACAACTTTAATTAACTTCTGTCTAATGCTATAATGAATTGATAATAGAGTACTCATGCTTTCTTAAAATGACTTCATAGTCTAATTACGGAATTGTAATGTGACTTATTCCAATAAGACTCCTCAGTGTGAAATAAAACAGGGAGAAAAAAATAGCCCTTGCTGAATATCTTGCCGGTTCTTCTCAGTACAAGATCTGCCGCCTTAGTTATGCGAACCGCTGTCAAAGTTTTTGACTTTCACAAGTACTATGTAACAGCCTAGACTGAATTGATTTTGATATTTATATTAATATAATTCGACGCGTGGATGCATAATGGCACATATGGAAATATGGCACATAAAAAAAACATGCTGAAATCAGCGCTCCGCTTTTTGTTCTTGATTTCAGCCCTAAATTCGGATGAATCAAGTCAATTAAAGTTATGAGCAACCAATAATTTGACTCATCACATCACTAATATTGACATATAACCCAAACATCGTTCCTTTACACGTAATATAATAAATAACTTAAGCTTACGATTCAAATAAAATAAAATAAATTTGAAAGTTAGATATTATAACTAACATGAAATGATGTCATATTTATTCATTTTCGATACTCAATTTACTTTTATTAAGTCAGAAATAAAATTTGAATAATTATCTAGATAAGATCCAAACATCGCAAGTGACATCTAGTTTGATTTCTAGAACTATTTTTTAAATACTTCCTCATTGTGATTTATTAATTGAATTACTTGAAACAATAATTCTGAATCCGAGTACTTAAGTGTCATGAGGTATTCCTTAAGTTTTTTATGACATTACCATTTATTAAGGGCATTTATAGAAAGTTTCCAATTCAGCCTATTGTACAAGAATGGACCCAGATAACCGATAAACCTCGTAGTATGAGTCGTGTTACAACGCATCGTTGGATTACGCGTTACGTAATATGGAACATGGAACATATTCCATGTTCCATATTTCCAGTGAGTACAGTGACACAAAATGTAAACAAATATAGCAACATGACAGTTTTAGTGATGTAACATATTATTATGAATTTGATTGACTGAACTGTTTCATTTACGTCATTCAGTGACTGACTTTAGACATAAAACTTGTCTTTAATGCCTTCCTAAACCTGTAATGAGGAAGTATTTAAAAAATACATTAGTTCCCGAAATTAAACTAGATGTCGCTACGGTACGTTCTTGATTTCTCCATGACCACCCTTCCGGCTTTCTTTCATTTGTAAAGGTAAATTTGTTTTCAAAATTCAATAAACAACTCATATTCTATTTGTACTTTTTCATATTTGTATTGAAATCTATATTTCGAACTATTCAAATTTCTTTTTTTTTATATGTTAGTTAAAAGGAACGCAAATGATTGTCTTTGCTGCATTCATTTCCTACAAAATAAGCTTTTACTAGAGTCGCCATCTAGTGGAGGTGCTTTTTAGTGCTTCCGTTTTTTCTAAATCCTCGTTCACACTTGTTGCATTTATTCTATTGTTTTTGCGATTTGAGGTAATTTTGTTTCACACGACAATTACTTTCAATAATAACAGCTTTAGAAAAATTAAAATTAGAATACATTGTAGGGCTTTTATAATGAAAAATAAATTTAAGTACAATTTGAGTCATTTTCTACTTTAAATACAGTAACCTGGTGTAAAACAAACGTAATAGGATATACACACTTTGAAATAAAAAGAAAGTATCTTTTATTTAACAAGTCAGCTTATTGAAATCACTTATGAATCATTTAATTTTAATTAAAGTTGACAAGAAGAACTAGTGCAAGAAACTTATCCACTTTTCAGAAGGAACAACATTTCCATAAGCTATCTATATAAACAGTCGATATCGCGTTTTACAAAATTTAATGTATTAAGCGCCTTATGATATAATGAAATATAATATTTTTGCGTACTAAATATTTCTCCAGCAGTATATAGAACATATGTGCAAAATATACTAAAATACTATATGTTATAATACGGTTGGTAAACTTAATCCACACTGAGAGATAATAAATGAGATTCGGCGTTCTTTGCCGCACGCCCATACATTCGTTTGCCTTCGCGTCGTTTGGGACAATTCCCGTACAAACAAACGACTATTTGGACAGCGTCCTTTCATTACCTTTACGCACAATACGCACATATCAGTTATATGAAACGAAACTATAAAAAATATCACAATGCAGTAGATTTTTTGTAGCGACAATTAATACTGAACACGACACATCTATTGAAATAATGTCTAATATAAATTATTCCTTTCAAACGTTTCTTTTAAATTTTTTCAAACTATCAGTCACGGGTAAATCTTCAAACGAACTTATTTGTCGCCATCCAGGACTCTTTCTGAAACATTGGCAGAATAGTCGACACCGGCTCTATTTGCCATCAATAAAAAAATAGAATAGAATGATAGATGACGCATAGATGACAGTTACCTACTTCTCCCCGCTCACCCCATTCCTTCCGCCTCTGCCTTAGAGTAAGTACTTATAGAGGGCTATTAGGTGTGCCACCGTAAGGGACAACAAATAAATCATCAGTGTTACTAGATAGTTAAATGTTCCTCGATTATGGGGAGATATTTTGTTATTAGCAAAGGAG